GTCGTCGCCGTCGTCGTCGTCGTCGTCGTCGTCGTCGTCGTCCTGGTCCTGGTCCTGGTCCTGGTCCTGGTCCTGGTCCTGGTCTTGGTGCTGGTGATGGTGATGGTGCTGGCGCGTATCGATGGTGGGGAATGGCCGCTCCATTCTGGACCGGGCTTTATCCCTCTTGCTGGCCGCCGCCGCACAACAGACGGTGCTGGGCTCCGGCTCAGTGGGCAAGTCGGCGCTGACGGTCCGATTCATCAAAGGCAAGTTTGTGGCGCGGTACGATCCAACCATCGAGGACTCGTACTCAAAGCCGCTGGTGGTGGACGACGAGGCATGCATGCTGGACATCCTCGACACGGCGGGGCAGGAGGGGTACTCTTCGATGCTCGACGCGTACATGAAGTCCGGCGAGGGCTTTATCCTTGTCTACGATGTGACGAACCAGGCATCATTTGAACACGTGGACGAGATCCGGCAGCGCATCGAGCGCTCGCTGGAGGACCGGGCCGTGTGTATCACGCTCGTTGCCAACAAGATCGATCTCGAGGCCGACCGTGTGGTGACCTCGGAAGACGGCGAGGCCAAGGCCAAGCTCTGGGACGCCGACTACGTCGAGTCGTCGGCCAAGACCGACACCAATGTCACGCTCATTTTCGAGACCATTGTCCGGCGCATCCGATCGTCCCGCGGCGGCGGCGGCGACGACGACACCCCGTCGAGCTCGTCCAAGAAGAAGGGTTGCACACTCCTGTAAAATGGCTGCTCATCATGTCAGCTCGCGCTGTAGAAACTGTTTGATCGCCGCCCGCGTCGCCGCTTTGTTAGCCCGCCGCGTCCGAAGCCGGTGCGACTTGGACGTCCGCGGCGGCGGGCGCGAGACCAGTGGCGACGGGATGCGCAAGCCGGCGGTCCGGTTGATCGCTGCCACTGCATCTAGCACCGCAGCGTTCACCGCAGCCTCCGCCGCGTGCATCCGCCGCGATCGCGCCTTGCGCGGCGCCGCCGCAGGCACTGCGGCCGGCCGCGCCTCGTTCCGCCGCAACGCCGCGTCCATCGTCGCCACCACCCGCCGCACCGCCACCTCGCTGCCGGCCGCCGCAAGAACAGCCACCGTCCGATCGCCCGCACCTGCGTCAGCCATCGCCGCCGCAGCCGTCTCGTAGCCTGGATACAGCACAGCATCTGGTTCGGCGCCGAGCACATGACCCTCGCCCTCGCTGCTCGTCCGCATCGCTCCGCCCGGCGCCGCGAGCGGCCACGTCGCGGAGCCACTTCCGGACCCGGCCGACCTCGCCCGCACTCCGCAGCGCGCCCGCAGCACGCAGCGCCGCCCGCAGACTGGCAAGCCCACTTCCGCCTGCCCCTGCATGCCCTGGCATGGCTCAAGTGTTTGCTGTTCCGCCCCCGCCCCCGCTCCTCCCCCAGCCTGCACGCTTCATGGCGGCAAGGAGCGAGCGGACAAAGGCGGCACGGGCGCCCGGCTCGAGTGAGCCGGCCGTCGCGCTGCCTGCCACCGCCCCCGACTCGGCCGCCAACGCCGCCAGCTGTGCGTCGTGGCATGCTACCGCTGCTGCTGCTGCCGCGTCCGTCCGATCGGCGCTCCGGTACTCGATCGAGAGCAGCTTGTCCGAGCCGATGCTCACGCTCGGCGCGTCCCACGCCGCAAAGAACGCCGCCATCTCAGCCCCACATCCGCGGCGGAGCGCCATCGTGCTCGTCACACACATCTCGGAGCAAGCACGAAAGGCTTGCAGCTCGGCATCGCAGCCTGCGCCGCTTCCAGACCTTGCATCGGTCCCGTCTCCGCCATCGGTGCACCGCTGCAGCGCCTCGAGCGGCTCGGCGCACACCGGGAACACGATCTGTGCCACACCTTCGAGATGCGCCACCTGATCGCTGCTCAACCTGGCATCGGCCGCGGTCGTGGCCTCGTATCCTGGGCTTGCTGCCATAGCCTGTCGAGCCGGGTCGAGTCGAGTCGTACCGCCTGTCGGCTCACCGCCTGTCCGGCTGGCTGCCCACCGCCCTCCCAATGCCAATGCCAATGCCAATGCCAAAGCCAATGCCAAAGCCAATGCCAATGGCCACCGATGACGCGCCCAGTCGCCACCACTGCCGCCACCACTGCCGCCTTGGCACTCCACCTAGCCCCACACCCCTCCCAGCCGACTCCCCGATCATGGAAGACCTCCACGCCGAGGTCTGGCTGCCGCAGCGGCGACTGGAGGACGAGGGCCCGCCGCCCGAACCGGGCACCATGTCGTGGCTCGACCACCACCTGGTGCGGTACGGGGCCATGCTGGTTGCCGCCGCCGGCCCGCTGCTGCATCTGCCGCCGCTCACTACCGTCACTGCCATGGCTCTGCTCCATCGTCTGTACTCGGTCTCGGCATACACCGACATCGAGGTCTGGTTCGCCGCCCCGGCCGCCCTCCTTGCCGCCTCCAAGATGCAGCCCGAGTCGCCGCCCGCCGACCTGCCCGACGTCGTCCAGGTCATGCACCATCTGCTCCAGGCGTGCGTGACCGGCGACAAGGAGTCACCGCACTCGCTTGATCTCTTCTGCCAAAAGTTCCGCAAGCTCGGCTCGCGCGTCGCCCACGCCGAGCGCGAGCTGCTCCGCGCCTCGGGCTTTGTCCCAGTCGTCGTCCTCCCGCACAAGTTCATCCTCAACATGCTCAACATGCTCGATCTCATGCCCGGCAAGGTCGAAGCTGAGCCTGGTCCGAGCTCTGTCCCGCCGTTGCCCGACCGCGTCGCTGCTAACGACGCCGCCGCTGCCGCCCTTCGCTCAGACCTTGCATCCAACGCCATCCGCGTCGCCAACGACGCGCATTTGACCCGGGTCTGCCTCTGCCTCGCCCCGCACGAGATCGCCGCAGGCGCCGTCGCCTACGCCTGCGTCGAGGCCTCCATTGCGCTCCCGCTCGAGTGGTCACTGCTCTTTGACGTCAAGCCAAAGGTCGTCGACGCGTTTGGCTCGTGGATGGATCGCCTGTACATGCTGCCGCCGCCAGTCTACGAGAACGTCGCAGACTCTAAGGAGATCGAATTCCGCACTCTTCATGCCTTTTATCACGAGTCGTAGGCCACCATGCGCTGTGTTGAGCTGATTGATCAGCTCGCCGCCGCTTTCTCGGTCTGCCGCTTGCTCTCCGCCCTCGCAAGCACCGTATCGGGGTGGGTTGCGCCAAGCACCCGCGCAAAGATTGCATGCGCGCCCTCAAAGTAGCTCACCGCCTCTTCGGCATGGCTGAGCGCCTTGGCCACAAACCCGGCGTTAAACCGGCACCGTCCGGCGTCCAGCTCGACCTCGGCCCGCCGGCGCGCCTCCTCGTCGCGGCTCACCCGCCCGCCTGCGGACGACGACGCCGCAGATGTCGAGCTCGAGCCGCCCGAGCCGGTGCTCCCGGTTGTTGCGGGACGCCCGCGGACGGAGCCACCTGCCTTCCACGGCTCGTCCTGGTTGGCTGCCTCGGCAGCCGCCGACTCGCTCAGCACCTGGTCGTACGCCGCCAGCGCCATTGCATACGCCTCGGCCGCCAGGCTGAACCGCTCCTGGATGTTGCAGATCGCGCCGATCGCCTCGCGCGCCTTGGCCGCTGCAAGCGCCAGTCGCGAGCGCACCGACGACACAAACGCTCCGCCGCCTGCCTCCTCTTTGGCCGCCTCTGCCAGCCGCACCACGTATCCGTAGTGGAGCTCAGCCATGTCAAAGTAGCCCAGTTGATAGAGCGTGTCCGCCAGTGCAGCGTGCACCTCGCCCATCGCCACCGCTGCCCGCGACGCACCCGGGGGCGACGCCAACGCACACATCGCAGTCGCCGTCGCCTCGGGCCCGCGCAACGCGAGCACAGCTCCGTACACCCGCTCAAACACGTGCATGGCCCACCCGAACCAGTCCAGTGCTTCCGAGTGCATGTGCGACCGTGCCAGAATCCGGCCCATCTGCATGTAGTGCTCGCCGAGCGCTGCGTGCGGCACCCCGTCGCGCCGCAAATGGTGCTCCTGCACCTCGATGCCGCGCGCCACGTAGTCCTTGCCCGCAGACAGGTCACCACGTGCCACCATCAGCTCCGACATGGTGCCGAACAGCAGCGAGAGGTGCGCGTCTACAAACGGCGCCAGCCCAGCCGCCGCCGACGCCTCCGAGAACGACATGCCGTAGGCCTCTACCCCTGTTGCAGCATGCGGCGATGGGCACGAGACCCGGAGCGAGGAAGCTCGCAGCCGGTTGAGCGCAGACGTCAGGTACGACGACGCCAGCGCCAGCGACTTGCCGCACAGCTCGACCCGTCCCAGCTCACCATACACAGTCACCAGCGCCCGCTGGAGCCCGACCGCAGAGTACGTCCGCGCCGCCGCAGACACCGAGCCCTGGTCCAGCGAGGTCAGCACTGCAAGCGCTTCCTTGAGCGCTGCACGCTGGTGTCCACGCCACCCGCCATACCCGTACGCCATGCCGACATGCACCAGGACCAGTGCCCGCGCGTACCCAATGGCAGGCCGCGAGTACAAACCCATCAGCGACCACACCAGCCACGTCGCTGCGCTTCCACCCGAGCTCTCGGCTCCGGCGTTGGCGCCGTACAGTGCCACATCCTTGGCCGGGTCGCCTGAAAGCCGCTCGATGTCTGCGAGCCACTGCAGCGCAGTGCTGAGATGTGCCACCGCGGTGTCAGGGGCTGCCAGGCCATCGGCCAGCTTCGCCAGCTCGGCACGCCCACGCCGCCATGCCACCCATCCTTGCAGTGCCGCCATCTCGACAGGGAGCAGCGTCTCAACACCGTCGCAAATCTCGGTGGCCACAGCGTCGTACACTCTCGCTGCCGACGAAAAGGCATGCATGATCTCCAGGCCCTGTGCTGTCATCAGCTGCCCGCCAAGTGAGCTCGCCTCCAGCGCTGGCTCGAGCGTGTGGCCCAACAGCGGCGTCGAGTATGGGAGCACGCCCGAGACAAGCCGCTCCAGCTCAGACGCGAGCGCAAGACCGAGTCGGAGTGCGTGCTCGAGCGCCTCGGCCTCGCTAGCCGACAGCTCGTAGACCGGCGAGTGAGAGAGGAGCGGCGCGTCAGCGAGCCGGCAGCCCGATGCCTCACTCCATCCGCCGCACTCGCAGTTGCCAACCCGCTGGGCATGTGCCCGCTTGAGCACCGGCGACGTCGCAAGCTCGCGCCCACATCCATAGTGCTGCGCCAGCTTCAGCCGCAGCACGTACACAAACGAGAGTGCCGCCATCAGCTCGCCCGAGAGCTGCGGCGAGAGCACCCCCTGCGAGGTTAGCTGCTCTACCGCCATCCAGCACGAGTCGACCTCATCGACCTCAAAGTAGAATGCGAGGCCGTGAATGAGACCTTGGAGTAGGTCCCACACCAGCGGCCGCGCGTGGAGGTATGGAACCGAAACAGCGCCCGACGCTGCGTTACGGCGTGCATCAAAAGCGTGCACCGCTTCGCGGATCATCGCCGTCGCCAGCACATGCCGCACCACCGAGCCAGTGACAAACATCTCGTCGTCTGCGCGCGCCGCCACCGGCGTCACGGGTCGCAGCGGCGCGCTCCGCAGCGCAGAGTACGACATGTCTTGCAGCGGGCAGCCAAGCACTGTGTCAACCAACGCCCGAAACTGCGCCAAGAGGTTCGACTCGCCAGCTACCAGTCGCATCGGGTAAAACGCGCGGCAGAAGACCGAATAATCAACCGCACCCGGCGGAATGCACGGGACCGAGAACGAGAGCTCCGACGCCGGTGGCGACGCCGGCGAAGGCGAGATCAACGGCGACCGTCGCGCATCGGGGCTTCCTGGTCCAGGTCCGCCAGGCCCACTCCCACCGCCAAATGTCGAACCGGTGAGGAAAAGTGAAGCCAGCTTGAGCGGCGTGCCCAGCGCCTCGTTGGGAAAGTGGACCGGCGTGAAGAGGCCGAACGAGCAGCCAAACTCGTTGCGCTGTGTGCCAAAGACCTGGACCTGTGTCTCGCCCAGCCCAATGACCTTGAGAAAGACAAGGGTGGAGAGCGTGTGAAAGTACGCCGATGCCTCGTCGCTGTCGTCCTCCATCACCACCGCAAAGTCCAGCCGCGGGTAAAGCGCCACGTTGCGGCAGGCCAGATCACCGACCACTGCGAGCGCATACGCACTCGGCGGCGGGCCAAGCTCCATCACCGCCCCACGGACCATGTCCGAGAAAATGCTGATGACCGTGTCTGCGCAGTAAATTGAAATATCCGACGCTGATCCGCCCGACTCGAGCATGATCATCGCGTTGAGCCGCGAGAGTCTCAGCGCTTCGCGCGACCGCGCCATTGCCCGCACAGCCTCGGCACACTTGGACAGCGCTGCTGCAGAGCCGTCGTCATCACCATCGCTCTTGCCTTTGCCTTTGCCTTTGCTCACGCCGCGCTTGCTTGACGCCTTGCCGCTCACAGTGAGCGACTCAAACGCCGCAAACGCCCGGGCGCGGAACGCCTTCAGCCGCTTGCGCGAGCTCGGATCGCGCGCATCCTTCGAGCTCATCGTGCCCGCCATGTGCTGCAGGTATGCAAACTCGACAAAAAATAGCCGAACAAGGAGCCGCCGCTGTGCCATCACGCCCAGCTGGACCGCGTGCAGCTCGCCGGAGCTATTGCTCTCGGCGCCGTCGCCCGCCATGCTCAGGCGCAACGATAACGCATAGGCGTACAGCTTGGCAGCCTCAACAAACACCTTTTGCTCCACGTACAAGTCGGCCAGCAGCTCAACCTGGGCGATGCGAGTGCTCGACGCCGAAGGCTCCGGAAGCACCGACGCCGCCCGCGATCGCGCTCCGCCCGAGCTGGGTCCGGCGCGCCGCAGAGCGCCTCGGCCAACATCGATGCTTGCGGCCGGCAGTCCTTTGTCATCCCCGCGGACTCGTGCAGACACTGCCGCGCCTAGGACTGACGGTCGTGCCGCGGTCTCCACGTCGGACAGGATGTCGCGAATCGAGCTCCGCAGCGCGGCGATGGCGCGGTCGTCAAACTCGTAGAACAAGTACTTGTCCTTGAACGTGTGCCGTCCGAGCACATGCTTGAGGACTCCAAGCTCGATGAGCGCATCGCCGAGCGCAACTGCCTCCTCACGGCTGCTTGCCAGCGCAAAGGTGAGGAAGAACGATGCCAGCTCCGAGCCCACGACACAGTCCTTGTACGCAGACCACAGATACCGCCGGTCCTGGATCAGCCCACACACCTCGGCCCCCGTCCGGACAAAGATAGCCGAGTCGCGCGCCAGCTGTGCATCGTCTCCCGCACGAGCCTATCTGGGTGAGTCTCGCCGTGCTCCTCTCTCTCTCTCCCTCTCCCTCCCTCCCTTCTTCTCGCACTGTCTGTCTGTCTGTCTGTCTGCCAGTCTGTCTGTCTGTCTCGCTCACTCGCTCGCTCGCTAACCCCTCCCAGACGAGACACGCCGCCCGGCCACGCCAGGCAACCTACCGCTATCAAGGCGTCCATGGCCAGCCCGCTTGCGTCAGCCCACCAGGTGCACCACTTTAAAAGGTGTGCCTGTGTGTGTGTGGGGGGGGGGGGGGGGAGTGGAGTGGTGCAAGGCGAGAGCGAGCCATGGCGGGACATTCCCGGGCGAGGAAAGGACAGACAGGCGGGGCAAGGCGGGGCATCAGGTTTACTTGCGGAACTTGCCAGCATCGATGGTCATCTTGATGGTGTCCTTGGTCAGGTTGACGCGGTTAAAGACCTCGGACATGATGGTGGGGTCGTCGATGCCGAGTGAACGGGCCTTATCGGGGTGGACGCGGATGGTGTAGCGCTTGAGCTTGGACGCGAGCTTGCGCGCCTCAGCCTCGGTCAGCTGCTGGAGAGCAACAGGCGCGGCGAGGTAGTTTTCGATGACGTACGAGACGAGCTGGAGAGTTGACTTTTTCATCTCGGCCGCACGGGCAACGAGCGACTTGACGCACTGGACAAGAACCTCGGGTTCACCGCGGTCCTTGAGGCGATCACCCATAATGCCAGCGCCATAGGTCCAGATGGCGAGAAAGTCGTAGGCCTCGGTGATGAGTCGATAGAGCTCGGCAACCTGCGACTCGTCCGGGTAGTCGTCCATGATTTGGTAGGCCTTGACCACGCCCTTCATCTTGGCTGGCACGTCGCCTTCGGTGATCATGGTCCGGATCTCGCCGACCATCTTGGCCCAGTCGATGCCGACCGAGTAGGCCTCGTCGACCAGCGGTGTGTCGGTCTTGCATGCAGTCAGCCGGATGAACGTTGGGCCTGCGACGTCGAACCGGACCACAACAGTGAGCACGCCGTCTTCGACAACAGCCACAACCCTGGTCGCGGACCCGAGCGACATGTCGACGACTCGGCTCAACACCGTCTCGCTGCAGCTGTAATCTTCGAGCACGTTGTAGTACGCATCGTAGAGCTGGAACACATAGCTGTGCTCCTCGCCGAGGAAGACAGGCACCTCCATCTCTGGCACCGGCACCGGATGGCCAAGCGGGATGCCTTCCGGGTACGCCGGCGAGCTCAAGAGCTCCGAGTTGCCCCACTCGGGCTCGGTCTGCGGAACGACGTTGACGACAAAGGTGGCGCCGGCCACGATTGGACCGCCGGCGCCGAGCCGGATGTTGAGTGTGTAGCCACCTGCAGCCACAAAGGTGGCATTGACGACGTACGCCGGTTGGCCCCCGACTCGCTTGGCCTGAAGTGTGTGCGCCACGTCGAGCGGTGTCGCGCTCACCGAGTCGGCCGCCTCGAGCACCAGCGCCGAGTCGGGCATCGAGACCGGGTTGTCAAACTTGTCGCAGACCAGAATGGCCACCGACCACGGCGCACCGGCCTCGAGCTCCTGTCCAGCCGGCCAGTTGCGGAGGATTCGGCCACGGGAAGGGTCGGGCGCGCCAGCACGGACGCTTACGGCCACCTGGCATGCCGGCACCACCGTTCGCCCGCCGACCAGGACTGAGACCTGGTAGTCGGACGCGATGCGCGGCGAGGCCCGGAGAAGGTACGCGCCCGGGCCGACGTCGCCACCCACCGGCAGCTCCACAAGCTCGGCCGAGTCGGCATCGTTCTCGTCGTCGTCAACAAACTCAAAGGCGAGCTGGCCATTGGCGAGCCCAGGCAGCGCGTTGCCGGACGCGTCGTTAGCGGTGAACCGCAGCTCAAAAACCTCACCGGCCACCATGGTGCCAGCTGGTGGGCGGCCAAAGAGGACAAAGTGCTCGGCAGATGGCGCTCCGGCTGTGACCACAAACGGCAGTGTATGGAGGCCGTCGTGGGGGGAGATGCCATCGACAACCACCACTACCGCGTAACGGCCCATGCTGTTGACTGTGGCGCGGATGACGAGTCGCGGCCCGTCAATGCTCGCGCTTACCCGCCAACCTCGGAGCCATCCTCCATCGCGATGAGCGTGCCCGCGACGCTGACGCTGCTTGCGTCTGGCAGCTCGTTGTCAAAGGTGTCGCGAAAGGTGGCGACCACAACAAGCTCGTCGCCGGCGGGCAGGCCACCGCTGGCTACGTCGGCCGGCAGCGCCCAGATCATGCGATGGACGGGCGCCGGCACCACGTCGAGCACGAGCGGCGAGTCTGGAAGCGGCACACCTTCAACACTGGCGTGGACAGCGTAGCGGCCGGCTACAGCTGTGGTGAAGTGGCCCTCGGCGCGGCCGTACACAGCGCCGGCCTGAAGCTGAGGCTGCAAGCTTGAACCGTCCGGGCACTCGACCTTGATGGCGACGCCGTAGGCTGGCGCCGCCACGTCGGCGACGTTGCCGGCGGTGTCAAGTCCGCTAAGCTCAAAGCTCACTGTTTGACCAGCCACGAGCTCGGGTGGCTGCGGTGCGAGCTGGAACAGCGACGCAGCAGGGTCGAGGCTTGCGGCGGCGAGCGCGATGGCCAGCGGCGAGCCAACTGCGGGTACGCCGTCGATATGAAGGCCAAGCTCAGGCGCGTCTGGAAGCGTGGCTGGCGACTCGGCAAGGCGGTATGAGGCGGCGAGGACACCTGGCACCGAGGTGGGGGCCCAAGGTGAGAGTCGGAGCGGCGCAGGGAGGGTGGCGTGGAGGCGCTTCATCAGCGATGCGCGCAGCTCGCCGTCGGCCTCTACCGCCAGCGCGTTGCCAAAGGCGTCGCCCAGCGAGAGGACCACCGTTTGCGGAGCCGAACTAGCGGTAGCGACGACGCAGTGGCTCGGATCCAAGGCGCCAGCCACCACTCGGAGCGCAAAGGTGTGGCGGAGTACAATGCCCGAGGAGAGCACGACTTCGAGGTGAGCCTTGATGCTGCCGGCAGCAGCGCGTGCAAACTTGACAAGGAGGCAGCGGTCGGCGAGACCAAACGAGACCCTGTCGAGCCGGTTCATGGTGTCATCGAGTATTGCGACTTGGGCCACAGCCCATGAGGCCGGAAGCTCGGCGTCGAGCTTGTTGCCAAAGGCATCAACAAACGGGAGCTCGACGGCGACAACAGCGCCCGCGAGTTGGGGGCCGAGATTGTCGAGGGCGGCAAACGAGAGCGCAGGCTCAAAGTCGAGTGCGTACGGCGAGGGGTCGGCCGCCAGCAGCGGGACTGACGCTCCGCGCTTCGGCGAGAGCGGGGCCGGCGAAGCGCGGGCTGCAAGCGAGGCCGAGCGGAACCGGAGCGACTCGGGCGCGACAGCCAGTTCGACAACAAGCGGCGTGGCAAACATTGGGATGCCTCCGAGCACAAGCTCGACCTCAAACTCGCCAGCAGCAAGGCAGCGGTAGGCGAGGAGAACGGTAGAGGCGTTTGGCGAGCGCTCGACGCAAACCTCGACTGAGCTGCGGTCTGTCCGGCGAGAGGCGGTGAGAGTATCGACCGAGGCGACGGTACGAACGGCTAGAGGTGGGAGCGGCGGAAGGGTGGCAGACCGGAGCGGAGAAAAGGTGATGGCGAGCGGGAGCGGGGTGTCGCTCGGCAAAGGCGCGACGTTTCCGAAGCGGTCGTGGAGGGCGAGCTCGACCGAAGCCACCCGGTTGACGACGGCGGCGGCGAGGCCGTCGCCGACGACGCTGCCGGAGCAGGGAACAGCCTTGTCAGCCACGATGGAGACGGTCGTCGGCGGCTCCACAGCAGCCTGGGCCTTGTCGATGCGCGCCGAGAGCGTGAGGGTGCCGGCCAGCGTCGGAGTCAGAGCAAAGACAAAGGTCTGCGGATGCTGCTTGGCAAAGTCGGACGATGGCGAGAGCGGGACTGCAACGAGCGACTGGCTCCGGCCGTTGCGCGCGGTGGTAGTGGCAGAGACTTCAAGGCGGCCAAGGACCTCGGCGGCGACTCGCGGGTGCTGGGCGAGTGGCGAGAAGACATTGCCGGCAGCGTCTGTGGCGCGGGCAGCGACAAGGACCTGGCTCCCAGCAGTGACTTCATCAGCAGCCTCGAGCATCCAGAACGCACAGTGCGGCGGCGAGAGCGGGCCAGGAACGATGGAGACAACGACGGGTGGCGTGGCGAGCGGGACGCCTCCGATGGTGGCAAAGATCTCAAAGTCGCCCGAGACATCAGCCACGAGACGTAGGAGTAGCATGCCCTCACCGTGTGTCGGAGCCAGTGTCTCCGAGGCTGCAACCCATTCGATGCGCGGGAGGCGCGGTGAGTGGCCAGAGCCGAGATCAGTGGGGTGGCTGGCGCCGCCGAGACCACTATGCCAGCCGCCGAGGCCGAGGCCACCGGCGCAGGAGCACGAAAGGCGTCACGAAGAACAAGCTCGACGAGCAGCACGTCGTCGAGGTGAGCACGGACAATGGTATCGGGGCCCACGAGCGAGCTGCAGGCCGGATGGACGACAAGCTCTGACTCGACCGGGTCGGGCGCCGAGGCGTCAACATGGACCACCACGAGCTGGGCATCCGGATGGGCGTCGAGGACAGCATCAAGCTCTGCAGCCGAGTCAAGCAGCGGCGGGACGCGGAGTGAGAGAGGGGCGAGGAGGAAGGTGTGTGCGCCAGCGAGGGCCGGTGGGGTGAGGGTGACGGTGCCGGCGGCCGAGGCCACCGCTGACGACGCGGCGCGCTTGGTGGAGACGGCCCCGCCTGCAGATGCCCGCACTGTGTAGACAGCGGGGGGGTCCGGAGGGGCCATGGTACGGTGTGGGCAGCCGTAGCCATGGAGTGGTGGAGGGTGGGGAGAGTGGTGAGGGTGAGGTGAGGTGGTGGTGGGGGGAGA